GACCTAGATTGAGATGAAAGATCTATGCCTCCGCCATAAATCAAACCTCTATCCAGATATTCATCAGAGAAAACGTTTATATAGCCAAAACATGCCTTTAATAATTTGTTATTGATAAGGCGAGTTTTGGATTACCAATTTAAGGAATGCACATTTTCTCGATGAGACTTTTACAAAACTATATCTGCTAGATTCAGATTGGTACCCGAAACGTATTCAAACGAAAATTTAAAAAAAAAGAAAAGAAAAATTATACGACATTATTTCTTATTGCGCTACCATTAACGTCGGATGAAAAATCCATTAGAAAATAAATGAAGATGTATTTACATTGTAGAAAATGTATTCTCTTTTATAGCGTAGACCTTTTCTAAGATAATCGGATAATCGATAAAAGGATATCTGTAAAATGTTGACGTAACTCAAGTTGTTAAAGGCACAAATATGCAAAAACGAAGAGAAAAGGGAAGAAAAAGAAGCGGAGAAATGTTTTGAAAGTTAAAAACGAAAAAGAAAAACAAAATCATATCTTTTTTAAATATCCACAACATGAACTTTCCATTTTTTAATTTTTTTATTCAAATATTTATGCAGCGTATTTCATGGAAAACCACTGTAAAATTTCAAATTTTCCAATTGGAATGTGAAAATTGTGTATAAGCAGATATGATTTGGCTTTTTAAGAAGTGAAAGCTTTAAAACTGCTAATTAGGGATTGAGTAAAACCCAGTTTAAATAAATTTGAAGTGTTAATGTATAACAGATAAATTTATTTATAAAAGATATAAAGAATTTTTTTTATATATGAAATCCAAAAATGTATTAAAAAATATTAAAGGTTTTAATGAACCCTTAAAAATAGCTTTTGGGAAATGGGATATTCAAAATATTGAAAAAATATATAAATTGGAATAGTTTACGTTCTATTTAAAAAATTTGTACATTGTTAGGATAGTTTATTGGTCGTTACAGTTTCAAATTTTACTCAGATAAGATATATATAGTATATATTTATAAAGTTAGGAAAATATGTCAAACTAAAAATTTTTTTTATTTTCATAAGACAAACAAAACGAGTTTATTTTTTTATAATACAATAGTTTTATGCGGTTTTAAGGTGTTGCAACTTAAAAAATTTTATTGAATATATAAATAAGGAAATATTGATATATGGAAATGAAATGGTAAGAGACCCGGATATAAGAGAAACCCAGATATAAGAGAGATTTTCTCTGGTCCCAAATTAGAGCCTGTGCTAATGTATAAAAATAGACTAAACCCGGATATAAGAGTGTTCAACCGGGATATAAGAGAGATTATTCTCCAGTCCCACAACTCTCTTAGGTCCGGTTTTAACATAGATATATATATATATATATATATATATATATATATATATATATATTAGGATGTATACAAATATATACTATACTAAATATATCACACACACACACACACACACACACACACACACATTATATATATATATCGAAATATTCATTCACAGACCTTTACTGTTCGTTTCACAGTACGCTCCGAACTAGACAAAATTGGAATGTCGAACTGACCCCTTTAAACGCTTAAAGCCGACCGTTCTAGTTCAATCGCCATGTCTAACTACTATCGACGCCCGGTAATTCCCTTCGTTTTTGTGTATTTATTTTAACATAAACACGCTAGTGATGTAGAGAAATTGAATCCAGAAAAAAGAGTCTTTGCATTATCAAGTAATAGTGAAGTTTACAAATGCTTTTTTCTTCCCATAATGATCAACTGAAAATAATTAGAAAAAAAAAATATAATTTTTGATCTACAATGACAGACTGAGGATAGATCATAATCTTAGACATCCGATATAAACTGGTCATATCCATACGACATATAAATATCATTAATGATAGAGACATCCATTTGTAAAAAAAATCACATGAAACTAGATATAACGAATATATATATATAGTGATCCACATATAAGCCTGTTTCAGTTCGACATTCACAGCTCATCAGACAGCAGAAATCCATTTGTACGGCCGAAATATTTTGGTATCAGCCAATATTCCAGCCCCCCAGCGTTTAGGGCGCACGACAGAATCACACAATTTTAACATGTATACACACATCGCCAGCAACCAGAGAAAACATATAATGATATTGTTGAAGAAATGGCGTCGATAATCTATTGTTTTGAAAATACAATTTTTCTCTAAAGTGATTGATCGAATAACGAGTTCACATAATATATATATATATATATATATATATATATATATATATATATATATATATATTTTGCGTTATAAAATAAGAAATATATATATATATATAAATATGCAAAATGAATATGTTATAAATATATATATATATATATATATATATATATATATATATATAATTAATTAATTTTCTGCACATAATATTGACACACGTTACATACGTATATATATATATATATATATATATATATATATATATATATATATATACAGAGAGAGAGAGAGACAGACAGAAGACAGACAGACAGGTAGGCAGTCAGGCAGGCAGGCAGGCATATTTTGCTCTATCCGTATTAAAACTTTTATTAACTTAATTTAGACAGAATATCATTGTTTGTTTTCTTTACGACATAAATGAATGATTATATTTTACCAAAACAATTCTTTATAGACTTTTCTTTTTATGGATTTTTTTGAGTTTGTTTTAAATATATTTTTTATTTACAATTGTATCATATAAATTTTTTTTTAAACATATTGAGTTCATTATATATATATATATATATATATATATATATATATATATATAAATCTATTTTTTTTTTTATGATTTTTATAATGTTCTTTATTTAGATACAAATATTTAATGTTTATAAATATTCTAAAAAAAATGTATTAAATAATTTTTATATTTATCCATTTGAAAATGTATGACGTCATTTTTTACATTTGATACGCATTGAGAATAAAAATGAATGAGAGAAAATTATTGTTCATTCCATTTTTTTAAAACCCTTTAAATCGACCTTGATAAAAGATATATATCATATTCACGAAAATTGGACAATGTCACAAATATTTAACGATTCCGTATAGGATAAAGGTTCGATTCCATGTTTTTATTATTATTTTTATGAAAATATCTCGGACATTCAGACACAACAAATGATGGGAATGACTGTTTATTATAAACGGAGTATTTATATATAAATATTTGTAACTATAAAAAAATGTATACACATAAAAATGTCTTAAATAATTGTGACATATATATATATATCCATTTATATATATATATATATATATATATATATATATATATATATATATCCCATCGATATTCGACGTTGAGGTTCTTTTTTTTCGTTTTATTAAAATTGCAGTTGAGATTT